AAAAGGATTTTGTTGAATATTTTTCACTTTTAAACTGAAGTTTTATCGCTGGTGATGTTTGAAGACAATTGTGACGGCGGTTCTTGAAATCGCAGTTTTGGACGAAAGAGGTTTCAGGGTCAATGCGTTTAAATGGTATAGTTTGAACAGACTGAGCAATTTCAGAAATCATTTTCATCTAAAAGTAGGCTAAACTTATGAAATTGGCTTTCCAGTCATTCTTATTTTTGGTGCTACCAGGTACATGTACATATTTCTTTAAATATGAAATATATTTTAGGGGTTTGGGTTCTGCTTTTTTTTTTACTCACGCTGTAAATTTGATTTTTTTTATTTCTGTTGATAAATTTTAAACCTGTACATTTTATTCCAATAAAAAAAACTCTCTTTTTTTGACTTTTTGGGCCTTTGCCCAAAAAAGGTTATACTTTGAGCACAAATAGATGCTTTGCGATCAGACTGGTTCCCGGTCAGTACGTTATCAACGCTAATTGTGGGTGGGAACCAGCCTATCTTGCGATAACAAATTTATCATAGGGCCGCAGCTAATTCAAATTTCGCCACCCAAAAAAGAAAATTCAATAACTAAACCTCGATGGATGATCTTCGTTCAATGACTCATCCAAAAGTGAATAACATAATGCTGGAAACTTTAAAAACAAATTTATTTTTCGGTATGAAACCCGAAATACATGTAGCATGGCATTATGACAGGGAATGCATCTTTAAAGTTTAAGTAAAACTGTAACTGTAAAACTTGGCTTTCACGTATTCCAGAATAGTAGGCCTGCATGTATATCTCTCTTTAACTTAACTAAATTTTAGTAAAATTTACATGGCCTAATCCCTTATACTCTGCTGCATCGATATCTTTACCACACGGAAATACATGTGTACATGTTATGTACATAAAGCAGCATATTCAGGATTAAGGAAAAGTTCAAGGAAACACCATCAACAGATCCATTGTGCATTGTCCTGGTCCACAGAATTTTGCACAATAAGGCTTTTGAATCAAGCCCAGGTGATCACTACAGGTACATGTAGTCTATTCCCCCATGGTTACTATGGTTACATTAAACAAATATTGACTGAAAACTTTTCGGTTTTCATATATGTACGTGTAATGTGTAATCTCTGTTATTGTACAGGTAGTTATTTATTAATTGGTCTTCAGTATCCCCTCCATTTATTATTTTCATTTTTATTTGGGTGCGAACAATTTAGAATTTATTGATATTTTCAATGACAAATTTTGAATTCCTTGCAGTCACACAATAATTCCATTCTCGCAGACTAAGCTGGTTCCCGCCCCACATTCAGTATCGAAAATGTAAGGGCTGGGAACCAGTCTGCCTGGCAGGCAGATCACAAAACAAAACAAAACAAAAAAAATCCAAGGCTTGCAGATGCCCAAGAAAAAGAAAAAAAAAGGTTTTGGAATAAAACATACAAAACATATTTAATTGAAAATGTATTATTTAAAAGAAACATAGTGGCCATCGTTACCGCAGCCGTAACGCGATTTTCAACTGCTTCGTTACAGCAATTGCAAAATCACTGTTGCGAATATATATCACATTTATAACTACCCGTCTATTAAACGCTTTGGTAGCTCGATTGGTTACACGTTAGACTACTGTGCCGGGGCTGCCGGTTTGAAACCACTGCCGCATTTTTGTTAATAGTTGTCTTTACTTTCATGTTTTTAATCAAATCGTTCTTTTTATTGAAGTAGGTTTCATTTTCTTCTTCGTAATGGCTACGCCACTGCAGGTCATACAGTTAAAGTTTATGTTTAACTTGTATGAAAAGTCATAGAAAAGTAACTCCCATGATCTATTTGACACCAAGTTTGTGTTAACTTGCCGGTAACGCCCTAAAAAATTATCCAGACAAATATGTTTATTTTGTAAGATTTTATGTTCGTCTGTCGGTCTTCTATGCTGTTATGTTTACTTTTAGGTACCTTCAATGGTACTATGTTTAATTAACCTGTTCATTTGTTTAATTAAACTAATAACGCACAAATAGTTGCCAAATATGGCACTAACAAGTTTGAGGTCGGCAATTTCGTCTTTAAAAATCTGGGTACGTCGGGTTACCGTACACACAATTGTCTTGGAAACAACAGTACCAAAGTACAGAAAGTCGTACGCAAGAGCTCCCCAGCAAGTATCACTGACGCCATTATGATTCCAAAATTTCTCACTGTGTCACACAGTGAAATATCTAAACAGCATCGTTGTATTGTGAACACATAAAAGCATTCAAGTCGCGTTCTTGCACACTTTTTGCAAGTCGACATAGATATCCTTGAACCACTGCCCCTGCTTTGCATAACAAGTGCACATGAATGAACGATTCGACTTTTATTCAAAGAAATTTCTATGTACAGTCACCAGACTCTATTCAGTAAAGTCCCCGTCAAAACGAAAGTAAACAATCCTCGTGCATAACGCACGGCCACACCATCGTACAGTGTGGCAGGGACACCAACGAGTAAAACAACAACTAAACATTTTTTTAAAAATTGATAAATATTCTGATTGAATTTCGTCAAAAGATACTTGTTGGTGAGGTATCACATATTTTATCACATAAAAGAGGAAGACCGACAACTTCACGCCGTCACTGAACTAGACACACATGTACATGGTGTTCAAGTTCATGTACATGCAAGTGCATGTACATGAACATGTTCAGTTTTTTATTAATCGAAATTAGGGGTGGGTGGGTGGGTCAAAATAATTTGGAAAAAAAGTCGAAATTTTAAAACATTGAAAATTCTGAATGGCCCCTAACAGAGCCTCCGTCTATTTCATGGAGACTGTAAGCACAAGCACAGCAAAAGACACGCTTACTTCAGAGGAAAAATTTGCTTTTAAAACTTAGTGACGTAACAATAGAAATCTCCATGCATGCGTGACCGTTAGCACACACACGCCGTGAAATAGTGCTTAAGGTTAGCAAATTTTTCTGCTATGCTAAACACAGCTTTTCTGCTAACTGTTAAAGCTATAGTCCATCATTTGTAATTTGTGCATTTTGTTCGTTTGAAGCAACAAAAGGGTTCAAAATCTAATGACGGATACTGAACAACTAACCTGATGAAGTTTCAGCTAAGCTTCAGCTGTACATTCCGAGAAAAACAGCATTCTAAGATCTCAATTTCAAATCAAAAGTTACTGAATCATGTTTTTGAATTGTTTTGTAATTGCAGCTATACGCGGCGTCGCGCACTGATCCGACGAATTATAACAACCGCGCGCGCGTGTGCGTCGTTCCAATACTTGTGCGCGCTGTGCCGAATAACAAAACGAACTACTAATTTAAATTTTCCTACGGTGCTTCTTAAGAATCACCGTTGGAAATGCCTTCTTTCGTTGATTACTTCAAAATGACAGCTTCCCAGAAGGAATAATTTCACAGGGAGTTTAGTTCCCTTACTATCTTTCAACCAAGTTTGTTTTTCAACAATAATTACGCCAGTTACTTTTCGGATAGCTGCAAATGATGGACTATAGCTTTAAGCAGCGCCGTGAAATTGGGCCCAGGTCTCCAACTCGGGTCACCTTGCTTAACGTCCATCTCACGTCTTTTAAAACTCTGTACTGGGCAAATAAATAGATGAAAGTTACAGGTGTATAGGCCTTTTAATTAATGGACAAGGGAAATGCGAAAGTCAATTTTTAAACAAGACAATGGTTTTTAAACTCGGGATCAAGGTTCCATTTTAAATCTGTTTATATACATCGTCTGTTTTAATCTAGGGTTTTAACTTTGTGTGGTTTTCATTGCTTGGGTTATACGTCGTCTGTTGTAATTTAGGGTTTTAATTTTATGTGGTTTAATTCCTTCCAGGGTTATTTTTAGTAATGTATTCATTATGTCTTTTATTGTGTTTTTGTAATTTTTGTCGTTATTATATCATGTTTTTATGTAATCCAGGGCCCCCAGGGAGAACAGTTCATTGACAACTGATGGGGCTACCCTGGTAAAATAACACAAAATAAATAAATAATAAATATACGCCTTATCCTTCCGGTTCATTAGTATGACGCCATTTATTTATTTATTTATTTCGTGTTATTTTACCAGGATAGCCCCATCAGTTGTCAATGAACTGTTCTCCCTGGGGGCCCTGGATTACATAAAAATATAATATAATAATGACAAAAACCACAAAAAAACACAATAAAAGACATAATAAATGTACATAATAAATGTACATAATCTGGAGAAATTTCGTAATTCCGTTACCACTTGGAAAAATGCCAAGAAATTACTATTTAAAAGTTTTTATTTTTCATTTATGTTTATGGTAGGGTCTTTTCTCAACATACATGATTTGAAGGAAAAAAACAAGAAAATTTGTGAAATAAGTAACTTTTGCCGTTTTTTCGGTAACGGAATTACGTGCTAATTTTGACATTTTTAAATGAAGGCCTATCAATTGTTTCCCGCACCCCCCCCCCTCCCTCCCTCCCCCCCCCCCCCCCCCCTCCCCTGGGCTGCCCCACCCAAGACATGGGGATTGTCACTTTTGAAGTGACAAAATCCCCACCCTTCGGGCAAAATTACTGTCGGCGCACTAGTGATTGCCTTTCAATTTAGTCGCCAATGCTGTTTTTGAGTGACCAAAATCCCACCCTGGGGCATGAAAAACATGACCAAACCCCGACATCGGACCTGGGGCAGAGGGTGGGAAGAAACAAATGATAGGATAGGCGCATAAATTAAGCAATGCAACTTGCAAGGAATAAAACACAAGAGCCCATGCCATGATTCTGAAGTTAAGGCACCACAACTGCACAAGCTTGTCAAATTTAACAACCCACTAACCCCCCCCCAAAAAAAAAAAAACTGCCCCCCCCCCCCCAAACCACCACCCCACCGACAACCCCCCCCCCCCCCCCCCCCCCCCCGGGCCCCTCCATTAATGAATGACTAGGCCTATTGACTATCGCGGTGAAAAGTACAAACCAGTTTTAACTTACCACAGTTCGATCGTGTCACATCAATGATTTAACCTCTTGATCACCAGCAACAACTGCGAAGAAGCTTATATTCTGACCACAGAAGTAGTTTTTTGGGGGTTTTTTTCTTCGTTTTCTTGCAATCAAAGTTAACTGAAATTGAAGGCAATACCACGCAAGACAATCAATGCACACGTACGTTCACGATCGCTCACTGGCTACTAGTATAGTACAATAATTATAAGTACATCCGTACGTAAGCGCCCAAATCGCACAAATCGCCCCAGTAACAATAAACATCCTGTAAAGATGAGTGAAGTGTTCTGCGATATATAGCGCACACATGGGCGATGAAGTTCGATAATGATCATTGACATACTTTATGTGGGCCATGAATAATGCAAACATAATCCCAGTACGGCCAAGGATTGTTACACGGCCTTCCATGGTGGACAACAGCACCAGTTTTCTCACCAAAGCTTTGTCCATGTGTAACAATCAAAAGGTACAATCAAAAGAGGGTAAGATGTAAAAAATCGGATGACAGGAAGGTTTTTTTTTAAAGTGACGTCGCATTAAAGGCAGACACTGCATGGCGCACACACCTTCTTTTCCTCAAAATAAAATTGGTCAAAGTGGGAAGAAATTGCCTCAGATCGCACCACAGAGCATCTACAATACAATAATGTTTCGGGCCCCTTAAGCGGGCCCCCAACCCCACGCCGTAATTTTTTGCACCAACTTTTTGGGGAACAACATTTCTTTTGGCCCCCACCCAAAAAAAAATGTGTTCTGGATCCGCCCTTGATGTGCACGCAGAGAGCTCTTCTGCAAGAAAGTTTGGAGAACAACACCCTCCCCCCCCCACCCCCCGGCCCCCATGCACCCAGCTTATATACGGGGTTTTTTTTCAAAGGTAATATTCTGTAACAAATCACATCCTCAAAATGTGGTTCTTGTGTTTATAGCTCCATGGGATGGTTATGCATACACTGGTGTGTATAGCTAATCTTATCTGAGAAAATGTGAAGGAAAATCATCAACATAAAATACCCTATAAAATTAGAACAAATAATGCTTCTCCCTCCCCTATGGAGGTTCAAAAGTGGACATCTGCTTTTCTGCTAACAGAATAGCAGAAAAGCAGATTGAACGTTTTGTTCAGATGCATGCATTTTTCTACTTTTCTGCTACCAAAAAAAGCAGGTTTTACTTTTTGCCCTTCACTGACGGTTCGAAAAGGGACATCTGCTTTTCTGTTACCAGAAAAGCAGATTGAACATTTTGTCACGGTGGTTCAAAAGTGTACTACTTTTCTGCTATCAAAATAGCAGAAAAGCAGATCGAACGTTTTTGTAAAATGCATTTTTCTACTTTTCTGTTTTTTTGCTACCAGAAAAGAAGATCGAACGTTTTGGACAAATCCACTTTTCTGCTTTTCTGCTTCCGAGTAAGCAGATCGAATGTTAAACAAAGCCTTAATTATTGACAAAAATAATAAGGTATTTTGAAGGTTGCAGGTCCGAATCCCGCATCACTCCGTTTCTTCATTGACCGGGAAATCTAACTATCAGTTGCAAGGTTCTAATAGTCTTTTAAGTTATTCTTTTTTTGTTCAGAAGTCAAAACTCTTAAAAAAAATATTTTAGTTTAAATAACAGAAAAGGAAATTTAACACCAGATTGTTGCCAGCGCTCCCGCCCCAAGTTTCAGGTAAACCAAAATTCCCACGTAGCCCCACCACCCGCGATTAGAGAAAATCAGCCTAAAACTGGAAAGTTTATTGCCCTTTGCTGGCCCGCGAGCTAGCCAGACGGATGTATGAAATAGGTCACGGTGACAAAGCCTATAACAGCGCAGCGCGCACGTGCATAATGACGGCACTTCAAAGCCTATTGCATGGACGCAGCTGATACTTGGCTTTTATTAAGAGCAGTGGGACCGGATTTATCACTCAGATGTTTACGTCATGACGGAGGGCGGAGTTACTTGGAACAGTCCATTTTTTGGCGGGTATATGCAGCTTGCGGCAGCGCCGTTGGCCACTTTCAGACATGCTGTGACAGAAACGTTGGATCCGCTTTCTCGGAAGCAGAAAGACAGAAGAGGATTTGTCCAAAACGTTCGATCTGCTTTTCTGATAGCAGAAAAGCAGAAAAGTAGAAAAATGCATTGTACAAAAACGTCTGATCTGCTTTTCTGCTAATTTGATAGCAGAAAAGCAGATGTCCACTTTTGAATCACCGTGACAAAATGTTCAATCTGCTTTTCTGGTAGCAGAAAGGCAGATGTCCAATTTTGAACCGCCAGTGAAGGGCAAAAGGTAATACTTGCTTTTCTGGTGGCAGAAAAGCCGAAAAGTAGAAAAATGCATTTTAGCAAAACGTTCAATCTGCTTTTCTGCTATTCTGTTAGCAGAAAAGCAGATGTCCACTTTTGAACCTCCATAATGGTCACGTTGGTAGATTCTCTTCAAATCCTGTTGAAATCGCAACAGAGCGTCCTAGGTTCGTCACCGTCACGCGCCCGATTGCTTTGGGTGTGGTTAGTTAGCCACTGATTTTATCTTCTCCCAGCCAAGCTAGGTTTGTCTCCACCACGTAAGTGTCACGTGACAATAAACATCCAATCACAGAGTGTACAACAAGTCACTATCTCCCAGTGCAAATCTATCTCCCAGTGCACAGCACACTCGCGGCTCTTTGCACTGAATCAAGGAAGACACTGCAGTTTGATCAGGCGTGAAGTACCCTTTCTTGACCATTGTTTTCTACGATCATTTTCTGCATAACACAATAGGCTATATTCTAGTATCTTAAGTAATGTAGAAAAAAAACAGATGATAAGGCCAAAAAAAAAAGTCTCCGGTTTCTGGTATGCGCGCGTGTCGCCGTAGCCATGCGCGTCGGCAAAATGAAAAAGGTTTTTTTTTCGATGAAAGATGATGTCTCAAAACCGCCAAACTCACTGGTTTGACTGGAATCCTGCTGCTGCACAATTTTAACGTGTTTTTAGATGGGGTTATGATCGAGAATAAGCTTTATGTGGCCTCTCTGGACTCCCATATATTTGCACTAAGTTTAGTCGGGCACCATTTGCAGTCATCAGCCAACATTTGAAGCAAAAAAGTCAGGTAAAAAAAAAAAAAAAAGCCGCGTCGCCGCACCACTTTTCGGACAAGCTCCATACCAGAAACCGGAGACTTTTTTTTGGCCTAACCTACTCTTTGATATGCCCAAAATAACATTGTTATAGACACTAGACCTTATCCGATATACTGTTTGTAAAACCATATACCCTGCAAAGAATATTTGTGCATATAGGCCTACTCACAGTTTGTGTGTTTGTGTGACTACCCCACTCGCGGCTCGTCGCTCGTTGTTTAATATCAATTTAACCTTTCCACTGCAAATTGCACCGAGGTTTCAAATTGCCTTTTACTCAAAAATTTAATCAATTTACAGCAAGCAATTGACTTTTTAATGGACAATATCAGCCCCCCCCCAATAAAAAGTTAGCGTTGTTTGTACGTGACATCAACACGACGCTGCATGCAGGTAGTGAAAAGAATACGCAGATATTTCAGCGCATTATTCACACACTACATGGGTATCATCAAATTCCGAAACGGGCAAAATGATATTCGCACTTGGGTAAAATATCAACACCGAATTGATAGAATTGATAGCGTTCCCGGATTGGTCTACACTACCTTTTATTTTATTGAACAAAGACAACTGACGACCAATATAACAGAACCTCCATTTTATTCAAAAAGAAAAAAAAGGAAAGATGCAGCGAACAGACTATGTCCTCTAGAACTCTGTAGGCTAATTTACACACTGTACTCTAAAAGACAAATGCTACACAATGTACAACTTTTTCAATACATGTACCGACTAAAAAAAACTACCGTTAAACACCACGTATACGTGTACTTGTACCTCGAAGGTTTTTGGCTACAAAATAAACATCTCTTCATAATCTGGTATATAGTACAATATTTATAGGATAGATATAATACAGCTCAGCTTTGTGTAATGTGATATTTGCAAAATCTTCAAAAACTCCCCATATTTTTGTAGCTCAATGATTTGAAGCAAATCATGGCCATGTTTTAAATTAACATAAAGACGTGCCCGATGCTATACAAACGAAATACATAAATGCATTTTTGTACCACAAAACAATTTTATACAATACTGACACTTTCTCTTGATTAGCCCTACAATCGCATATTTTCTCCTTTTTTTGGGGGGGGGGGGTCAAATCTACGATAAAAAGACCACACACAAAAACCTCAATACAAAACGAATCACATCAATATAAAAAAAACATCAACAAGGATCAGGCCAAAAACCAAAACAACCAAAAAGCAGGCATTAAATATTGGGAATGTATACATACAAACAAACGAGCTAAACAAACAGACAGACATTACAATACAATACTTGTCGAGTCTTAAAACAACGTACGGTTTAATACCATAGCTCTAGCATGCAGTGCAAAGTACTGAAATGATAGGTTCTTGTAATTTTATAAGATTTGAGGCTTTGCATGGTGGGGTATCGGTATCGTTTTGGTTTGCGGTAACACCATGTGGTAATAACTACTGCTTAGAAGATATTAGTTCTGAAAAGAACTTGTCCTGCGGGATTGATTTGCAATCAAAAACATTGATTATTTGTTTTATACAACACCTGAATAAATCCTCATCATCTGATTGGTCAGTAACCAATCGCGTGACCGTGCAATGGAACTTCTGTTTACAGTGGAATAGAACTGTTTTTCCGTTGCGGCCATTCTGTAGGTTTGGACGAATAATTCAACGACACGTGACAAACGACTGACCAATCAGATGACGGGGGATTTATTCAGGCGTTGTATAAAAAAATATAACAAAATGTAAGGTAGAAAGGTATTGGTAGCATGTAACTCTTATTGTAAACATTATTCCGGCCAACATTTACAAGTTAAATCTTAAAAGGTTGATAAACTGTAGAAAAGGGCAATTCGTATTGTTAAAGGTCATGGAGGTCGACTTTAATGAACGCACCACTAATAAGAAACACAAGCTTTTTTCTCTTACTAAAAATGAATGTCTTTCAACATGGTGGGTTTTTTTTGGTATACACTAGTGAATAACCAAATAGCTTGGGAGTAACCTGCGATAAACTATAGCATGTCTTCCGGGGGGGGGGGGAGATAAATATTCTAAGTCGTTTCATGCCAAGGAAAGCGGAGATAAACGCCAGCCTGATGGGCCATATTAGCTCAGGAAAGACTTTACTAACTCTCTCATGATGTCTAGAGAAAAAAAGGAATTGGGTAGGAGTCCACTGTGCAAGTATAACTCCCCTAAAAAACCGAAAACAAACTCATGGAAACAATTAATCCAAAATAATTACAGTTACTAAATGGGGAACATTTATAGTCATTTGTTTAGTATAATTTAATATTTCGATATGATTTATATACATGTATACACTTTACATTTACACAGCATAATCAAAATACAAAAGTAGATTGGAAAATTGCAATATATTTTCTCCACGTGTCATTAGAGTGATGATTTTTTTAATGTTACATTTGTATTTTTGTTTCGTTTTCAATATCGTTAGACTGGTAATTATTCGTGAAAACGGTACCTTTGGGCGACACTCTTATAAACTTGTGCGCAACAAAATCCTAACTTTGATGACCCGTAAGCCTAACCTAACCTTATCCTACCCTCACCAAACTTTGAAAATTTGGGCTTAGCATCACGAGGAATCAATTTAGCCTATTTGTGACATTTTGCCTTGAAATAGGAGTTGATACATTAGGGAGACATCTACACTATACCAGGTCTCCCTAAGGTATAACTGTTGATGATAATGTGTCGCCGTAAGGGTACAGTAAGAGGAATTTTGTAGTGGTAATTAATAATTTCTCATTTAAAAGTGGCATAATACTGAGTAGTACAATATTTTTTTGGCAATTTGCCTTTCACAGGAACACTGGGCAGATGCCTGAACCCTACCCTCCCCAACTCCATCAAAATCCATCCTCCCATTTTGGTGGATGTTGTGGAACTTGGTCCTGCAGGCATGGTGTGACTAAATATTGATGGAGTATGGAGCAGTGTGATTGATGGATTTTGGCAGACTTTGTCCAGTACTTAGTAAAAAAAAGTATGGAGTTAGGGTGAGAGGCTTTTTCAGTCAATATTTACAATTGATCAACATTTAACAATTTAGAATCGGTGCGTTGGGTTGCCATTTGTAAGCAATTTAAACGAGATTTTTTTCCAGAATCAACTGCAACAAAATTCAATTTACAATTTCCATACATAGACAACAACATTTACACAAACACATTATTATCACATATTTTTCATGTACTGTAAACTGAATTAAACCCTTAATAGTACAAAAAGAACAGAACTCAGCCATGTTGCAATTTTTAGAACACAATCAAAAAACAAAAACAAAAATGCCAACATAATTTTTACAGTTGTAAATATTGTAGCAAAAAAATGCTGCGTAAATTTTCTTGATTATTCATTTCGTGGAAACTCAATTTTCTTTTTACAAAAGATCAATTTAAATATCTGTACATAGTGTCTGGCAATGTAAACGACTAAATTAATCACACGCCATTTTACCATTTCAATAGAAAAAAACACGAAATTTCAAGGGAAATGTTTCGTTCAGATTTCAGGAATGACTAGTAGCAGTTTCTGCTTATCTCTGAGCACCATCAAGTAAGCAAAATAAATAAGAATGCAAAACAATTCTCAATTTTTTAAGTTTTCTTACAAGTGAGCCTGAAAAAAGTCACTAAAAGTTTAAACTTGCATACTTAATTTTCAAGGTACATGTAACTTAAAGGTTATATACAACATTTGCTTTAGCTGTAATTTTAAGAAATTGATAGATTTGGGGTTAGTATTTTATTGCAAATATTGTTTCACTTACCTGTTTCAAATTTTGTTTTCATAAATGCTGAAAAAACTAAGAAATGCTGTTCTTGTAGTCTGGCTCCCTGACCCTACTTCAGACAAAACAGGGCAATTTCCAGATGTCAGATAATTGTCAGGTCAGGGAACCAGAGTAGCTGGCTTGCACCCCTTCATGGATGTGTAACTGATTGCCAACAAAATGCGGACTATCTAAATTTGGAAAACTGGGGGCAGTATTTTGAAAACAAAGTCAGTTTTTTTGCCAACGATTGTCGGCCGACCATCGTTGGAAATCGATACAAAATTTCCACTTTTCTCGGAAATGACAGTAAACCAGGTGCCATGATTTCACAGGATGCTTGAGACTATTATTCACTTACAGTCAAGTAAGGTATTTCATACTAATTTGGTAGTTTTGTTTTGTGACGTTTGCAAATGTTGTATATTACCTTTAACATAATGCTGATTAAGGAAAAAAACTCTTCCAAATTGAGGTATATCCATGGAACAGCAGCAGTGTTATTTACTTAGCTGACGTGAGCACGTGGCTACAGTTCCGTTGTCATTAGAGGGACATCAATTTCTGAGTAGTCGTGGTTGTACTGGCCGTAGGGTGTGTAGGATATTTGCTCATAGGCTTGTTTGCCTTCCTCACCTGGCAACCAAAAAAAAAGATTAACATTTGATTTTGTGTGACCTTCTGCCTTGTGTTTAGTCTGAGTGTCACCCGTTGTCCAAAGGAGCCATCTGATATATTGTCACCGGTTTCACGAAGGGACGGGTATGATAAAATTGAAAAAATTTTAGATTTCACGTTTTTTCACCATTTTGCTTTAAAACATGGTACTCAAGCATTCTGACACGTTTCCATAAGCAAAACATCATTAATTCCTGAATAACATTAATGACGCCAGGGGCAGGCATCTCGATAATTGCATTTTGCGATTTCACGAAGAGACGCGAACATGCCTGCCCCTTGAACACGTACAAAACGTATTGCACGGAGAGGCGTAAAAGTAGGTCAACAGGAGATTTTCGATTTCACGAAGGGACTGCCATCTTTGTTACATTGTTACGAACACGCGCGCCCTTCCCTATGGAAAAGCACATTAAACAAGAAGGGCGTGAATGTGAAACAGCGAGATTTTCGATTTCACGAAGGGACGGACATCTTTAATAATTATTTTTGGCTTATTAACCACTTTATTAATTATAATTAATGGGTTCAAATTAAAGTTTACCTATCCAAGAATTAGTCATGGTTTCCTTATTGCATAAAATTGTTGCAAAGTAGTAGTTTTTGCACTTTTAAAAACAGAGAATTTCTCTTGCGATTATCTCGAAAACGGTTTTTCTTCAAAATCCACATGCCCGTCCCTTCGTGAAACCGGTGACGATATGTGAGCAATGCAAACTTTATTCGACCCCCGGCGCCAGCCAATCGGAGTCGGCTTTAGAAATTGTGACATTTTATCAGAAATGTGGACTAAGCTGTCGATAGGTCCATTTGGCTGACATGTTTTTGTCATACAACAACCGGTTACGGAAGGCGCCCGCCAAAGGGTCAGAATCTCGAGGTCTTGAGTACCTGGCAATAAGCCTCCAAACTGATGACGTCGCACTCTACTTACGTGTGTGCTTTTCTATAGTGCTTTGAAACTGTTGTCCCCACTAGGCTCCCATAAGAAAGCACACATGTAAACAAAGTGTGATGTCATCATTACAGAGACTTATTTATTCCCATGAGTTAGGAAAAATGAGTACGATTACGAGTTACAAAAAATGTACCCCAATTCGAGAACGAGTACGAATACAAGTACAAGTACTTTCCAAAAGAAGGAGCAAATTTCAATGTGTCACGTGTTTATCAAAATTTCATGGGCTTTTTGCCGTCAAATTAGGCATTTGACAAATGCAGAAACCTCCAGTAGAAAACCGGTTCTTTTCCTGCATGTTCCGCTAAAAATTTGTTGAAACTCTTGCAGGAGAACATTTGCAAGAGTACAAGTTAGAGTACTTTTGTCACCAGTACAAGTACAAGAACAAGTTTAGGTATTTTTTTTTCTTGGTTGTACGAGAACGAGTATGAGAACATTTTCATGAGTACAAGTACGAGTACGAATACCACAAAAATATACTCGAGTACAAGTACTACAACAATGTACACTACCTCCCTATGCTTGGTGTCAGGAGGTATTCAAATCAGTCAGCACCTTAGGACCAGTATATTTGATCTACTTCCCCCGCAATCTATGTTCTATTTGTACATTGTTTTGGTCTTACCGAATGCCATAAGTGCTTCCTTGGCCGTGGATTTGACATCATCCATGTCACATCGCAGGAGGTATAACAGCTGATCCAAAGCCTCCCTGGCCTGATGACGAAAGGAAAACCGTGGTTAAAGAAGCACTTTTGATGCATTCAGCTATCAACACCAGTGCATAAACGACCAGTTCTGAGACAATGAGAGCTAGTCCCATTGAACAATGCCTCAGTTGTATCCTGCTGCTGTAGGTGACCACAGACTCTGAGGCTGTTTGGCCTTGAGACTTTTGACCCAATGGATCTTGCTGCACTTGGCAGGCTTGTCATTTGACAAGTGTTGCAGGTTGCTGCGTTTGTCAGGGTTTCTAGCCAAAATGCCCTGGAGGTTTAGGGTTAACAATCTTTCACTTAGTTTGGGATGAACATCAAATACCTGACTGAAAATGTACTCATTTCCAGATCAGAAAATGTGTATCATATAATTGAAAAAAAAAACAGTGGATGTTAACACAACTTTTTAAATTTTGAAAGTTGAACAAAGAAATTGACTGGAGCGGGGTTTGAACCTGCGACCTCCAGATTACTGTTCCGGTGCTCTACCAACTGAGCTATCTAGTTTATGTTGGCGGATCCCCAGTTTGTCAATGTCTTTGTTAAAGGGGCGCTTGTCATAATAAAAATGTTTGTTCAAAAGGCGCCTGTCCATTCTAAAAATGAAAACTCAACTTTGTATTGATTAATTGACAATAAAAATTACAACAACAAAAATGCTTTAACATCAGAAATGGAGTTGCTAAGGGAAGATGCAAAATCAAACGAGGGGCAATGTGAGGTTTTACCCCGAGGTACTCCACAAAACCATGTTAAACCTCATAAAACCTCGATTAGAACCTCAAATTACTAGCTGTTAAACCCTGCGCAGAGTGACCTGCTGCCCTTTGGGCCCCAGGTAAACGAATTTTTTTTAGGGCCAATAACGTTCACCTCCTATCTAATCCTCATTCAACCCTTGCCAAATCAGCTGGTTCAATGAACTTTGCAGCCAGGGCTACACCCAGGCCATGTCAACAAACTTTCGACCAGGCCTCCTGCCAAGTCTCATTGAAACATCAACAAAGACCTGTAACTTGACACAGCCATCTCCCTTCATAACTGCATACCACAGCCGCCAGTCAATTATCTTTCCAGCACACTGTCTGGCAACTGACTGGACACGGTCTGGCACGTGGCTTTTTGTTGTATTGCTATGAATAGGGTCTTGCGTAGTGCGGGAAAGTACCTGCTGCCCTTTGGGCAGCAGGTGACGAGTTGTTGCAAAGTTTTTTTGTAAACGCTGCGCAGGGTTAACTTTGCATTTCCCCCTAACTGACAAGCCGTTGGCTCTTACAGTAGACCACAAACCTCCATCCAAACTTACAAAAGATTTTCGTGTTTCAGTTTACCTTCAAAGCAGCGATTGCAGCACACCCGGCCTGACGTAACGACAAATCTCTCTCCTCTAAGCACTCCAAATACACATTGACAGCCTGATTAAAATGACACATACAAATGAGAAATCTGACTTGAGTTGTAGAACACCTACTCCTTTTCAGATGTATTCATATTTGTAATCTTTGATATGTCTACCACATATTATGTTAAAGATAGAGAACAAATATGTCAAATAAAAAAGTTTTTAAGAAAAAACAATTGGCATCTTTCATTTTTGTTTCAAAACCTCAAAACTTTAATGGCCTTTACCTCGGTATTTTTACTTTTTGAAATGTCAATAAATGCAAACTTTAAACAGCCATAACTTGTCAACCGAATGTCTCATCGAAGTGCAACAAAAAGTACTGTAAGGAGAATTGTATTCTCTTTCCTAATACCCCAAATCCTTATTTCGATCTCTGCCCAGTTCTGTCTCATTTTGCCAGAATGCCTAACAATTTCATAGCTAAAAAACGCCTCCAAAGTACCTGTTCCTTAAACACATTGAGGACCTGTAGTCCCAAAGTTTAACAAATACACAAAGGAAGATACACCCACCTTTTTCCTCAGTTTTTCATCCCCTCCAAGGGACTCCAAGTATACCCTGACCCCCATCTGTATAGTGGCACGGTCCTCTAGCAGCAGTAACCCGAGGGCGCGCAAGTTGCCGGTGGACAGTAGTGACCCTTTTGGAAGCTTCTTCATAACTTTTAGAAGTTCAGGGTTGCTGGGCTCCAAACTGGCCGTCAACTCGACTGTCAAATCAAACCAAATAGAATTGTAAACGAGTGATCCGCAGATCGCATGTGTCACCTTTTGCCACAGTCGATGCTATATGTTTTGTGTTCTTAACAAAAGTCGAAATTTGTGCATTTTTAAAAGACCACCTCAAACGACCCCTAAATGACCTTTGACCTCCCATTTTGGAAGAGTTGTGATGAACCCCCACCCAAGGATCACACACCATCCAAGTTACATTCAAATCCATCAAATTCTGTGGCCAAAGAAAAAAACATTTGAAGCATATTTCGAACAATGACCTCTAATGAACCCTACATGACCTTTGACCTCAGTAATCAGATGAAGAATTGTGTCTTCCCACCCAAGAGTTGCTGCATATTTTTTCAAAAAACCGAACCGAAACTTTAACATATATACGGCCATAGGGTCATACGGTAATACAGAATTTACGACTGGTCAGTGTCTCCCAAAACTTCTTTTAGGCGACACAAAAAAGTGTAACCGGATATAGTCGTCACAAGTTCCAGAATTTATGAGCCAGCTCCAAAATTCCTGTATTTTCCAGGACAGATCTGACTGGTCAGGACTTACCAATAATAAAACCTAGGACCTTAAAGGACATGTTCTAATTCAACTTCCAAAACTTGGCTGAACAGGAAAAAAAAAGTCAATAATTTTCCTTAACATGTTTCAAATTCTTGGATTTTCAGGACAGATTACAGCGGTTTCTATAAGATCCCAGGAGATTTCAGGACAGATTCCAAATGTTTCCAGGACAGATTCCAAAAGTTTTCCCAAGATAGATTCCAGGAATTTCCAGAAAACATTAGATAACAAAATCAAAGACAGATTTAAGAAAAGCGCCAGGACAGATTCTACGAGTTTCTTGGACAAGTACCAAACCTAAACACCAACAGGAAAACATCACCTGATAAGTCTTTTATTAAGGAGGCTGTCATACTTACAATCTTTGGTGAGGTCGTTGATGAACTTTTCCGGGTTCTTCCGGTCGTCGGTGGCAAAGAACCCAATGTACTGGAAGAGACTAATGATGGTCTTCGGATGATACAGGTCCACCGGTCTCTCAATGATTCTATTGCACAGGCTTTGGAACACTGCAATAAAAATAAGTTAAGTTAAAAGTTAAAGGACTCAATGCACAAGGTTCTGTCAACGAAGAGGAGAAAGTTGGGAGGGACAAATGGGAAGGATTCTTGGATGCATTGCTGACAGTGATGTATTTACTGACAGCGCCGGATAGTTTAAAGATAGTAATGGCACTAAACTCCCTGCGAAATTATTCCTTCTGGCATGCTGTCATTTTGAGGAAAACAATACAAGAAGGTCATTTCCAAAGATGAGTCCAGTGATGCATTTTTGAAATTTGTAAGTTGGTTTGTAATTCAGCGAATCCATGAATGGGTGCGCGCAAGCACTGACACGACGCACACACACGCGTGGAGCTATTACTTGTCAGTTCAGTGCGTGATATCGCGTAGCTGCAATCGGCTGAATGAGGACGTGTCCTGGATGCTGATGTTGGGTGCAATTCAAAATATGGCTCGGCAACTTTTGAACTGAAATCAAGATCCTAGTATATTGTTTTGTCAGAATACACAGCATTCACAGAGCTCAAACTTCATCAGGTTAGTTGTTAAGCAACACCGTCTGCAGATTTTGAGCACTTTTGATGTTTCAAACGATATAAATGCACAAATGACAAATGATCTACTTTCACCTTAAAAAAAAAGAGACAAAGGATGTATCGAAATTTGCCTTTTTAAGTTTTGGCAGACACAATAGGGCTCGCTCAATGACGGCCATATCTGTGGGAGAACTGCAACTGCGTATTTACACAATCAAGCACGCATTGCGCAGTGTTGAAAATGTTCCAAACATGCGCGCTTGTTGCTCGAAATGTGTTCGAAATACGTCGCAGCCGATGCGCGTTATGCAAGTTGACGCTCAAAATGCCGATGCACGTGGATGGTCTGTAGGAAATGACGTCATTTGAACGAGACCTATAGGGGAGTGCTATTCAGTTTCGGTAAATTTGGGTAAAATACAACAAACTGTACCCAAAACTAAACAGCGCCCTCATATTGTGTCCACCTAAAGGCCAATGGCTTACCATCATCAGCTATGTCGGGATGGCTGGTCCTCAGTTTGGCGCCGAATTTGACGTCCAGTTGAAGCAGGAACGACTCAGCGTTCACATAGAGGGCCTCCTTCTCTGCGCAGTGCTGCCAGAACTCCAGAAGCAGGGGGTTCAGCTTCAACTCGGGGAACACTGTATAAAATACATGTTAACAGAATTGAGCAGGACTCGAACCAGAGACTAGAGCTGTGCTAACTCAGCTGATGGACATCATGAGACTTTACTTGATGTGTGTAGGCTTTTACATTCAGAGCATTTGGTGCATTACTCTGTTATTATTACATGGACACTCTTATCATTTGAACTTGATTACTAATAGGCCACTTTTTTTATTGCATAGGGCGCTAATAGACCAGCAGCTAGGTAGAGTTTGGAGCCCTCAAGCGCTGAAGAACAGAGGTGGCAGCAAGTCATTTTTTGCAATCCCAAGTCAAGTCACAAGTCATTGTTTGCAAGTCCAAGTCAAGTCACAAGTCATTAGGTCCAGTCACAAGTCAAGTCACAAGTCATTAGCTCCAGTCACAAGTCAAGTCACAAGTCATTTGGTCTAAACACAAGTCAAGTCACAAGTATCTTTGTCCAAGAACACGTCAAGTTGCACATTATTTTGTCCAGCTGTAATAAGCTAAAAGAACCTGGCGTCAACTTACGAGTTATTTTGAACATGCCTCCTTAATTCCTCTTTTTCAATGTGTTGCTATTACTATTCTTGTAGTTTATCACATATCTGTCGGATATTAGCCCTTTGTATACTTTAATAAATTTACTTTACATTGTAGAAATAAATGTTGAGATGACATGAAAAAAAGACATCACTCACTCGATTACATGTAGTATACTAACACTTTATTGTTCAATTTTGATGTATACTAAACGCCTACCAATGGGTTAGGCTATCCGGTATTTTACACGCAATTGACAAAGGCCTGCTTTCTTTCCATGAAAGGTTCCTTTCAAAGTTTGTTCAACCATTACATTAAGCAAGAGGCTTGGTCATTGAAAACTGTGTAGTTTGTTGTGACAGTCTTATTGAAAACTTTTGAAACTAGTGGGAACTATTCATTTTACTGGATTTAGTGTCTGACTTGGGTTGGTAACAAGTCATTTTTTGCAATCCCAAGTCAAGTCACAAGTCATTGTTTGCAAGTCCAAGTCAAGTCACAAGTCAAAGCTGGTATTTACAAGTCAAGTCACAAGTCACAAAAATAGCGACTCGAGTCCGACTCGAGTCCAAGTCACATGACTCGAGTCAGCAACTCTGCTGAAGAATAAGGCCAATTGTCACCTACCATCATCCGCCCTTGTGATAGGTGTGCTGGTGACAGCCAGGACTAGTAGCTGCTCAATGATTACTGCTTGCTTCTTGAGCTTCTGTAAGGCGACAGTCTCCTTCAACTTCAAGGGACCAAAAGCTCCAAGGTGCTACAATGAAAAAAGTCGGTGGGGGAATTAACCCATTAGTAAATGTACTACATTGTATTACATTGTATTAAATATTCACTGAGAAATCAATACAAATATAGAGTGCTTGGACAGTTTCAGGTGCTACAGGGAGTAACAGGCAGGGTGGTTTGGGCACTGCAGGACTAAAGGATGAGGTGGAACTGAGCGCAGGCCATTTTGTAGAAAATGCTCCCCAAAAAACAGAATGAGGGTGAGTTTTTTTCGCTCGTCAGATTAACTGATACAGTCGAATTCTGATAAGAAGAGCACTGTTAATACAATATTTTGCTTATAACAAGGAAAATGTTAGGCCCCAAGTCTTTGTTTTTCTTTGTTTTCCATTACTGTACAAGGTACCTGTTATAACAAGGTAATCTGTAAAGTCCTAAGGACTTTGTTATAAAGGTGTTCAACTGGATTTGTAATCTTTGATGTCTAATGCACATATTTTTTTGTGGAATGAATGTGTGGAGTGCTGAGGCCTCATGGTCTGGAGCATTGAATTTGTGGTCTGCGGGTAATTCTGCGGGTTGTGGGTTGGAGTCCAGCCTGCGGCTACGGTGCGTGTGTCCTTGGGCAAGGCACTTTGTCACTCATGGCTTCTCCCGACCCAGGAGTAAATGGGTACCTGTGAGGGCACAGATGGTTATTGTGGTTGATTTAGCTGCTTTGCGCCGAAATGGCAACATCGGGCTGTATACTCCCCAGGGAGCTGAGATGGTATTTGGAATGTTTCATTGGCTTATTTTATTTACTGAAGAGTCCATAAAACCATTGATGTTACATGTAGAGACTTTACGTTTGTGCACATTGAAAATAGTCAATTGCGCTTTCTTCGCTTCATACAAGTGCGCACATGGGGTGTGTCCCTCCCACTGCAGCTATCGAAAGTGTCATAAAGAGCCATCTACCGCTTGTGCGCGGAGTCCATATCAGCACCATATTATTTTAACTTACGCTCAGCAAGTATTCAATGTACATCAGGTGTTGGACTAGCACCATATCAATGGAGTCGTTGTTTGTTGTAAGTTTCGGGCCGGTCTCGGAACCTTCCTCCCAACACGTCTCCCCCGGCGAGTCCACCAGTCGTCGCTCGCGCTGCTCGTTCATCTCGATCAGCCGGCTCTCGCGTTTCTCGCTCATGTTGATGATACGGGAGCCGCGGTTGGCCCGGGTCATGGGGAGGTTCTGGGGGAGGGGGGAAGGGGAAGAGTACGAGGGGAGGGAGGGGGAGGAATCACAACGGGGGAGGGCATCATCCAGGCTGGCGCAGTCACTGAGTCTGTCGGAGGATTGGGACTTGCAGAACTCATCCGACGCAAAACTAGATCTGTTCCTAAAATGAAACAACACAATTTTAAAACAAGGTCTGATTGTCACGAAACTTGGTAGGAATATGTACATAGAGTGTTTCCGTATTGCCCAGACAACAAAATCTCCAGGCAAACATCCATTGAAATCATCACATGTACTTGTAATCATGGAATAACACAATTTTAAAACATTCCGTGATTGTCTTGAAATTTGGTAGGTATATACAAGCTGAGTCCAAAAAACCGAAACCCAAATATCGGGACCATTGTTTCAGTGAAGTTCTGCATGTAGCACTTTCAAAATATAGGATAGGAAAGCCCAATTCATAAGCTTTCTTTTAGTACATGTATAAGAATCATTCAAATAACTCATGTACTTTTCAATGTTACTGAATTTTAAACACAACCACCGTTTTAAAGTTCTGTCCAAGGATCACAAAAAAAGGTGTGCGTTCTTTCAGCAAAACGAAAACAGTTCACACGCATCCCTATGTGATTTGTATTCATTTTGCTGAAAAAACACTAACCTTCTTGTGATCCGTGGACAGAACTTTAAAAAGGTCTTTTTCTATAAGTGGGTTAAGGTTGTCATGAAACTTGATGGGTACATAGAAGTTTCTGTACCGACTAGTGTGAAGCAAAAACTCCAGGCAAATATGTGTACCCACTGGAATACACATGTACTCGAGGCAAAGTACTCAACTACAACACTAGCCTTAGCTATAAAAAAAAACATAACATAAATGTGATTAGACATACTCATCCATACTGCCGCTACCACTGTCGATGGGACCATCATCTCCATCGACCTCGTTCAAGAAGTCAAAACTCTCGAGGGCAGTCTTCACCTGTATACTCATCGTCGACTCTCTCTTCTTACGCTCGCGAATCCTCTGAAATGCAACGACATCATTTTCTTAAGAGTTTACATTTCGGGACGAGCACCGCACAGGGAGAACTTTAACCCTTACTCCTTAGGCCTTTTTGCTAGGATGTAGCCTCAATCCTGCAAAATTCTCAAATTGGCATTGAATGGAAAAATAACATATAACCTCAATCCTTCAAATTCCTCCATTATTTCTTGAATATGGTCCGTGGAGGGGTGACCACAGCCTGAATCCTGCAAAATCCTGCGGCAGTGGCTCTCAATATTTTGAGGCTTGGCCAGTGACATCCTTGAGCAGAACGGAGGATTTCAAGCATAATCCAGGCCTATATTTATGCATGGCTGAGCAAAAATAACACAAAGTCTGGCCCAAAACCTTGACAAAGTGCATCTTACGAAATCAGTAATGCACTTTTGCCATGTAACCTCAATCCTCCAAATTCCTACACTTTGGCAGAGAGGATTTTAAAGGATTCAGGGCGGTTAGGGTTAAAGGGCTAATGACATGACTTTTACATGGGAACATATTTTGTGCAACTTCTACTCCACTTAAATGTATGGAAACTATTTGACATCCCTGTTTGGGTAATTGTATTGAAAAGTGCCAATTTTTTAAACATTTAAAATTATTCATGCTTTTCCTGACAAATGAGGCTGATGTTACTGTGATGTCATCTCAGGAAGACACTGTTCAGTTTAGGAATTTTCTGTTCAAATTGTGAAGCCGAAATTTGTTAACGGAAAGCATTTGTGAGAAACTTTACTCATTGGCTTACTGTCATGTACTGAAACAACAACGAATCACCAAAGAGAAGAATATTTATGACGGCAAAATATCAAAAAATCTGGCAAATTTTGGTGCTAAAATAGTTGTAATATTGAGGTGTCTGCCTGAAATGACATCACACATTTGCTCATGCATATGAATTTTGCATTAGCATAAAAGCCAAAGAGTGGAAATGCCCTAAAAATAGAAAACTGAAAATTGACAATAAGGCTAAATGGGACACAAATGTGCATTTTCCAGGATTACATGAAAAAGAAATACATTTTATGAAGCCTTTTAAGAAATATCGAAGTATGTTAACAAATTTACGTCGGAAGACGTGTATACATTCAAAGGTTTTGCAGTATTCGGAACGGATGACGGATAAACACAATACGAGCGAGGCCGAAAATATCTGTCAGCGACCCGCTCACAGCGAGCGAGGACGGTAATATGAGTGTGCTGCCCGTGGCTTCAACCCGCCTGGCATGATGCCGAGTGAAAATTAATCCTGCGCCTCCTTCTGTTCTTGTCAAAATAATCCCGGCGCGAACTGGTCAACTGGTCAATATACCATACCGGTACCTAAAATGACTGACCAATATACCTACATACATATCCACTGACAGAGATCACCTGGTCACCTATATCACCTGGTCAATATACTAATATATCGACTGGTCAATATATATCAACTGGTCAATATACCTATATTGACGGGTCCATCAATATGCATATTGACTGGGCAATATACCTATACTGACTGGGCAATATACTTAAAGACATAGTCCATCATTTGTAATTTGTGCATTTTGTTCGTTTGAAGCAACAAAAGTGCTCAAAATATAAAGAAGGGTACTGAACAACATAGGCCAAGTTCGGGCAAGGACCATTAGTCGACTAGTGGTTGATTTGTGACGTACCTTACGCCTGCGCACTAATAGCAAAGTGCGAACGTCTCTAGTCAAACGCTGGTCAAAATGTCATTGCAAAACGTCTGGATCCTGGCTCCCTGCTGTACGTTATGAACGCGCGCGGCTATGGTTACCAGCGAAGCAACTAACCTCAGTAGGTTGGTTCCAAATAGTCGACTAGCGTAGTTAACCATCGTCGACTAGACAGAGTTCGGGCAAGCGTTAGTCGACCAATGGTTAACTATAGTCCTTGCGCGAACTTGCCCCAACCTGATGAAGTTTCCGCTCACCTTCAGCTGTATATTCCGAGAAAAACAGCATTCTAGGATCTCAATTTCTAATCATAATTTGCTGAATCATGTTTTGAGTTGGGCCTGAATTCAGCGTCTGAGACACGTTCTCACTGAGCCGATTGCAGCTACGCGATGTCCCGCACCGATCCGACGAATTATAGCAATGCTTTTGCGCGCGCTTCGCCGAATAACAAAACGAATTACTAATTTAAATTTCCTACAGTGCATCTTAAGAAACACCGCTGGAAAGGCCTTCTTTCGTAGATTACTTCAAAAAGACGGCTTGCCAGAAAGAATAATTTCACAGGGAGTTTAGTTCCCTTACTATCTTTCAACCAAGTTTGTTTTTCAACAATAATTACACCAGTTATTTTTCGGATAGCTGCAAATGATGGACTAAAGCTTAAAACTGACTGGTCAACGTGCTTATATAAGCTGGTCTATAGACAGTACACATATTGACCGGTCAATAAATACAAACTGACTGGAAGTGAGGCTGGAAATATCAGGGAGTGTCCCTCCGTGTCCCTCCCACGAGGGGTGTCAAAAGTAATCGAGCCATCTACCGTTCATGCACGTAGTCCATTAGAAAGATAATCCTCATTCACACACCTTTAGAAGGTCATTTAGACTTCCAACTTGCTTCTCCAGTAGTTCCAACTCTGTGTACTGTCCCTTCAAGATCTCTAGTAGCCTGGTCACATTGTGCATGGCTTCCTCTAACGTCAATGTTAGTCTGGACGTGTTCAAGTCTAACGTCTTAGGCAGGAACTTCTTGGGCGATTTTGGAGACTCTTTGACGCTGTTATTGAATGTTTTCTGCAAGTAGGGACATAAAAAGCTAATTTAAGGCGGACTGCCCATGCTATAGCTTGTCCAACAAAAAAATCCTAACAGTCGAAAACCAATTAATAAAATATATTTCATGTGAGTTTTGGAATATTTTCAAATTACTTCTTTAAGTCAGATAACCAATCTACCATACAAACTTTATTTCATTCAAATCAATGCATTGGAACAAACGCTATTCTTCATCAAACTCAAGGGTTGCAAATCGTCTTGGGCCAATTTCCTTGAGAGCGAGATAGCGCAGTTAGAGAAACACACAAAGGATTTATTTCCTTTGTTCACGAGTAACGTGTGACTTATTCGACCGGCTTCGATCTGTAAACTTGATAAATAAAAAAAAACGGCCCAAGTGGTTTTTCAAGTTCCCGTATTGTGATTGCTGTATCTTTTGAACAAAACATCCTAATGAAACCAACTAAAAAGCATGTGGAAGACCTATTATTCTACTCAGCAAAACATTAAACATGATTTTGAATACAAACCCCACTTTTCTGAAAACATGCCCGATTCGACTGTTAGGTTTTTTGTGGGACAACCTGTATTTTGAGGTTCAACCCATATTGTTTTCACTTGCTACACATATCATTCTAGCAAAAATAAAAAAAAAATTCACTGAATGAGATATCTAATAAAAGAAATTTGGCCCACATTTAGTAACTGAATAATTACTTAAATACTTGTGAAGTTAATCTTACCGAAGTACTGATGACAGATTCTGTGAAGGCCCTTTCTCTTCGACTGTATGAGTTCTTAGGACTCTTGTACATTTCCTCATTGATATGGAATGGACTGAAGAAAAGAAAAGTCCCAAAATGTATTCAAATATGTTAAAATATAGTACAAATATTGTTATTTTCAAACCAACTGAATGCACCGAAATTGAGCAGCATAAATGAGAACTACGATACAGCCCCAAATCCTGCGCAATATACATATTCAGACTAGTCAAAACGTATTAACCAGTTCGCACCCGATGACGTGTATACATGTACATGCAAAGGTTTTGCGGTATTCAGAATGGATGACAGAAAAACATGCAGGGAGCGAGGCTGAAAATATCTGTCAGCGACCTTCTCGCAGTGAGCGAGGCCGGAAATACGAGTGTGCTGCCTGAGGGTGACAGCTTCCACCCGCCTGGCTTGAGGTCGAGTGAAAAGTAATCCCACGCCTCGCTCCGCTCTTGTCAAAATAATCCTGGCGCGAACTGGTTAACTGGTCAATATACTGTACCCTGAATGACTGACCAATATACATGATATACCTACATGTACATCGACTGACCGATATACCTTTATCAACCGGTCAATATACCTATATCAGCTGGTCAATATACCTATATCGACTGGTCAATATACCTATATCGACTGGTCAATATGCCTATATTGATGGGTCAATATGCCACATTGACTGGGCAATATACCTATACTGACTGGTCAATATACTTAAACTAACTGGTCAATACATTTATATATTGACTGGTCAATGTGCTTGTATGTCTGGTCAATAGACAGTACACATATTGACCGGTAAACAAATACATACTGACTGGAAGTGAGGGCACTAGTGCACATTTGTTCTCTTTAAAGGGCAAACCTGTGTCATAATTGGTGTAAGGAAGGGTCTGGGACTATATGTTGAAGTACATCATGCCTACGTATGCACTTGTCGGACTATTATCTACATGTACCTACCTCCATGTGACAACAAGATTGAGTTTGATGGTCCCGTTCTCGTTAACGTCTATCGTCAGCGTCTGGGGGTCGGCTTGGTAGAAATCTGAGGTATCAAACTCCAGATTGCCGATGACCATGTTGGATCTTGCAATGCCCCTCATTTCAGTTACCTAAAACAGACATAAAGACCTTGCTGATTGGCTATCTTCTTCCTCGTACATATTCATAACGCTACACGTTTTAAATTAACAGCTACAATAGTACACATGAGTTAAAGGTAGAGTACTGGTAGATCATTTGTAGCTATCCAAAAAGAAACTGACAAAATTATTGTTGAAAATCTTACTGGGTTTAAAGATAGTAATGGCATTAAACTGCCTGTGAAATTATTCTTTCCGGCATGCTGTCATGTTGAAGAAAACAATAAAAGAAGGCAATTTCCAAAGATGGGTCAAGTGAAGCATTTTGGAAATTTCCGTTAGTAGTTGGTTTGCAGTTTGGCGAATCTGTGAATAGGTGAGTGCAAGCGTTGACACAATGCACACACGCGGTTGATATTTGTCAGTTCTGTGCGTGAAATCGCGTAGCTGCAATCAGCTGAATGAGAACATGTCCTGAATGCTGATTTCGGGCGCAATTCAAAACATGACTCTTCAACTTTTGAATTGAAATCGAGATCCTAGAATATTGACCTATCGTGGAAGAATCGCATTAGAATCGCATTAGAATCGCGTCAACGCAGCTTGTGAAATATTGTCCAATTACATGATACACAAACGAACGTGGAACGCGCAACATCTGAGACAAACAAAACTTAGTGTCTAAAAACTCCATAGGGTTGTCTAAGGGGAGTGGCTAACTCGAAAACGACGATAAATCAATTGCATACACTGAGCTAAATATTCTTCAGGTTAGGCCGTTTTTTTTTAATTACTTGGATTACGGAATCGCCGCCGGAAAAAATCGGAATTTTGAAAAAAATTTAAAAAATCGCCGCCGGAAATTGTCGATTCTGACTACCCCAAAAAAAAAAATTAAAAAAAAAAAAATTTGCCTTTTGTACAAAAAACTCTATATTGCGCGCTGTCCAGGCCTGTAAACCATAGTATTAGTACTGGTTTGATCGAATGACATGACTTAGACTGGCGACGACTACAGACTGTGCCGTGCGGGCCGCGCGCAGCCATGTATGGTGCACATGGTGAGTCCGTGCACAGACCACACGTGGCCGTAAATATTGTGCATGGCCAGGCCGCGCGCTGTCAATGCATGCAGTGTGCAATGCATGCACTGTGTTAGGTCGTACTGCAACAATGGCCGACCACGCCGGGAGATCCGTTTGTCTTCTCGTGAGGGTGCGTGAAGGGTCCAGAACTACTACAAGAAGGTTGATTAAATGTTCCCCTTCGGAAGTCATACGTGACGTCATATGTAGGACGGGGATAAGTCCGTCGGACAAAGATATCAAAAGGGTATCTGCGGCGTCCACAGAACAGAACAAGTGAGTCAGAGAAAGAGTTTATTCTCACCGGTTTATTGTACATGAGCGTGCGTTGTGAAGGAAGAAGAACACGCGGTTTAATTTTATGATAATGTGTGCATGTACTTCCAGCGTAAACGTACTAATATGTCATGTACGTTCACGATGCCACAGCACCCGGAACCTACAGTCTACGCGTTTGTTATGAGCCACGGTTTTTCATTTAGTTGCTGCCATTCTTTGTACACAGAGCATTACAAAACTCATAAAATATACGCCAGTACCAATTATTGCACAGGTTTGAAGAAATAAAGAAAGGAAAGGGCCGTTGGTCACTCCATGGTCACTATTTCTTTGAAACCGTGGTTTGAAAATGCAGTGACTGTTCATTCTCGTGCCCGTTTTTGTTTCTTCATGTCTCTATGGGCGCCGCCATGTTGGATGATAGGGCGCCCCCATTTTTTTTTTTTTTTTTTTTTTTTTCATTTCCCGCTCGCCGCCGGAAATGGGGACCCAAAAATTCCGTAATCCAAGTAATTAAAAAAAAACGGCCTTAGTTGTTAAGCACCCGTCTTTAGATTTTGAGGACCCTTGTTGCATATATAGGGCGTGCTGTCTTTGACATACGCGCGCAGTATGCCTGGAATGGTCAATAAGGGGCGTTTTATTCTACACGTATGTTTGTGCCTGCCACTTGTGCCCAGGTATCCCACTTGACGCCATCAGCCTTTGTTCCTTAATAAGGCTTAAACGCGGATATTCATAATTATTGATTTGCTCTTTATGCAATGATTCACAGTCAATTTTCATGGCCAAAAAAAAGCAATAATTATTCCTTCTAAAAAACTATAGCCCAGTGGATTATATGGTGAGTTTTATTGGAAACTTATTTTGAGTATATACATGTATTTGCGGGGTATAACTTTGGGAAAACTCATATAATAGAAATTGTGGACATTTTATGCCACAGTAGCGCCAGAGTATGTTGGTAAAAGGTCACCAACATGCGAAGACTAGTGGATGTCTCACACTGCGCATGTGCAGCAAGTATAGCCCATAAGTGAATTAAGTGACTACACGGGCAATGAACATATATGTCTACATGGCCAGGGGTTAGTGAAGGAACGCACAAACAGCCAATGGAGTGGAGGCTGGTCCATACCTTTATCGTCAAGAAGTCAGCTAGCATTGGGTACATGACGATCTCATCGATGTCCCAACTCTGGCTCAAGTCTTTCTCCACTTTGCACTTCATTCTCCATTTCTGCAACCCGTATTTGAAGACGACCTCAAAGATGTCTCCGCGACATACCCTGGCGAACCCTGCGATACCTGGGAGGACAGATGGGTGGGGAGCGGAAGATTGGAGAAAAAATGACAATTAAAGAAGGCACTCAGTTTAGCCTCCAATTCAGCCACCATTGACATTTTAACATAATTTTTTTTAAGTCATGAATTTGGAAATTTAGGTCTCGAGTTCAAGTCTAAAAGCCAATATCAATTTATACTCACAATCTATTCTGACAATGAATGCACCAAGACTAGTCTCCAATTCAGCCACAATTGATTTTTCAGTTTTAACTTTTTATTGGACTTTATAAATTCTGAATTCTTGAGTTCAAGTCTAAAAGCCAATATCACTTCACTCTCACAATCTATTCTGACAATGAATGCACCAAGACTAGTCTCCAATTTAGTCACCATTGAATTTTGGTTTTTTAATTTTGACTCCTGAATTTAGAGTTTTCAAAGCTCTTGATTTCAAGTCTACATGCCAATATCAATCTGTATACTGACAATCTATTGTGACATTGAATACACCAAGTTTCGTCTCCAATTCAGCTAATATTTACTTTTAACGCAATTTGTTTTGGGAGTCCTGAATTTAAAATTCAGTCTTGAGTTCAAGTCTAACAACCAATATCAAAATCACACTCACCATCTATTCTGACAACAAATGCCCCTCGTTTAGCCTCTTGTCAGCCAGCATTAAATGCTGACTTTAATTTATAGAATCAGAATTTGGGATTCAAATCTTGAGCTCAACTATACATGCCAATAATCAATTCATAGGCCTACTTCCCATTTATTGTGACACTGAATGCACCTAGACTTGCCTTCAATTCAGCCTCCATTAACAGCTGACTTAATTTTTATGAACTCGTGAATTTGAAATTAAGGTCTTGAGTTAAAGTCTACAAGGTAATATGAAATCATACTCACCATCTATTCTGACAACAAATGCACCTAGATTAGCCTCCAATTCAGCCTCCATTTGACACAGACTCTGAAATTTGAGAAATTAAAACACAAAATGTTTTCAACTGTCAGAGAAAAGCTGTTTTCATCTCCGAATACCCGGTAATTGCGGTGGCTCCCACCCCCCTCCCTCTACCAACACTGACCAATATTTAAAATATAAATGCAAACTTTTCTTGACAAATTCGCGTCGGAGGACGTGATAACATGCGCTGACTGTTTTATACACAGGCACGGCTGACGGGTTAAAACGTCAAGATTGCCTCGACTCGCCTCCGGGTGACGCCTAAGCACGCAATTCCCAATTTTGCCTTTTGCGAAAATCAAAAGTTTCAGCAAAAAAACCCTGGCGCCAAGTAGTTACATGTAAGTCGCATAATAATGTCATCACTCAATATTCCAAATCTCTTGGCCTTTTTGTGTCATATGTCCCCCATCCCCCTTTAGCCTATTCGAAAGTAAAAAAACACAAGACTTCAACTCCCTTTCAACTTAATGCCGACACGTGAAAAAAAGGCTTAAAGCCTATAATCCCATTTTATGCTGAAGCAGTTTCTCAACTTTTGTACCTAATCTTATAAAATAAAGATTGTAAAAATGTAATTGTTGACCTGCAGCAGCATGTAAACATACTCCAATGATACTGCTGGGCAAGTAACTCGATTACTCCAGTACTCCGGAGTACTTTATGCTACTCATTGTTCTACTCCTGGTTTTTCATCTATTCGAGTACTCGTCCTGGCGTGAGTAGAATTGCAGCTACTCGCGAGTAGCAATTTAAGGTTTAGGGTTCACGGTTAAGTAGTTAATAGTACTCGATCGCTGTTAACTCCTGGTTTTTCATCTACTCGAGTACTCGTTCTGGCGCGAGTAGAAGCAGGTATTCGCGAGTAGCAATTTAAGGTTTAGGGTTCACGGTTAAGTAGTTAATAGTACTCGATTGCTGTTAACTCCTGGTTTTTCATCTACTCGAGTACTCGTTCTGGCGCGAGTAGAAGCAGGTACTCGCGAGTAGCAATTTAAGGTTTAGGGTTCACGGTTAAGTAGTTAATAGTACTCAATCGCTGTTAACTCCTGGTTTTTCATCTACTCGAGTACTCGTTCTGGCGCGAGTAGAAGCAGCTACTCGCGAGTAGCAATTTAAGGTTTAGGGTTCATGGCTTAATAAGTAGTAAATGCTACTCGATCCTTGTTCTACTCCTGGTTTTTCATCTACTCGAGTACTCGTTCTGGCGCGAGTAGAAGCAGGTACTCGCGAGTAGCAATTTAAGGTTTAGGGTTCACGGTTAAGTAGTTAATAGTACTCGATCGCTGTTAAATCCTGGTTTTTCATCTACTCGAGTACTCGTTCTGGCGCGAGTAGAAGCAGGTACTCGCGAGTAGCAATTTAAGGTTTAGGGTTCACGGTTAAGTAGTTAATAGTACTCGATCGTTGTTAACTCCTGGTTTTTCATCTACTCGAGTACTCGTTCTGGCGCGAGGAGAGTCAGCTACTCGCGAGTAGCAATTTAAGGATTAGGATTCACGGCTTATTAAGTCCCCTGCAAACAGGGAATCACTCCCTCCACCTCTCTCTCCCCAGGATTCCACTTGTAAAAAAAATACCCCGGTAAATGACTCAAACGGTCGCACAGTACTTGGAAGTTGCACGCTATTTGCTTGTAGTTGATTCCCGTCATTTACTCAAGAAAAAGGCCAAAATGAAAAAGTCTTCAGTTTCTGGTATGGAGCTTTTTCCAAAAGTGGTGCGGCGACGCCGCTTTTTCTTCTTTTCTTTAACATGTTTTTTTTCTTCAAATGTCGGCTGATGACTACAAATGGTGCCCGACTAAATTAAGTGCAAAAACGTATAGGAGCACAAAGAGGCCACATAAAGCTGATACTTGATCTTCACCCCATCTAAAAACACGTTAAAATTGTGCAGCAGCAGGATTCCAGTCAAATCAGTGAGTTTGGCGGTTTTGCGAATTCATCTTACATTGAAAAAAAAACCTTTTAATTTTGCCAGCGCGCATCACTATGGCGACCCACGCGCAGAGCAGAAACCAGAGCCTTTTTTTTTGGCCTAAGACCGATTAAAGGGAATGTATATCATTGGTTTTTGCTGTAATTCTCAGAAATGAACTATTTGAGGGGTTTCTATGATAGATCAAATATTGTTCCACTGATATATTTGAAGTTTTGTGTTCGAAAATGCTGGAAAACCAAGAAAAACACAAATGGTGGAGTAGTCTGGTTCCCTGACTCCACTAAAGATAACATGGATCAATTTATAGATGCCGGAAATTTGTAAGGTATGGGAACCAGTCTAGCTGGCCTGCACCCGTTCATGAACATGTAACCAATAGCAAACAAAATTTGGACTGAAAAAAAATGGTGAAGTTAGAGCAGTAGTTGAAAAATAGTTAGGTTTTTCCAACGGTGGTCGGCCGACCACCGTTGGAAATTTATACAAAAATACAATTTTCTTGAAAATGACTTCACACCAGGTGCCACAATTTTACAGGATGCTTAGTTTAGACTGTCATTTACCAACATCCTAGTAAGGTATTTCATAAAATCTTGGTAATTTTATTTTTCTATGTTTGCAAATGTTGTATATCCCCTTTAAATAAAAACTGAGTCTCCTGCAAAGAAATCACTTCACAACCAAAATTCGGCAGGATGTTTTCCATTTCCGATTCCCAGTAACTGTTTACATCTGAAAGTGTAGTAAACCCGACACAGGATTCCCATATATCCCACAGGGCCTATAAAAGAAAACATTCCCACAGAAAGCCTAAACCACAACGACAATAACATGAGTGCACGCTCCATGCAGTGTTTTGTGGACTTCCGTTCCAGTGAATGTGGTACAATCAGATTACATGGTTGCTTGGGAATTCAATCAAGGATTTATAACACTGCAGTTCAATTGTAAAAACGTCTTTTGATGGGGCACTGAACTTGGAAAAGTTTTGAATCCAAACACAAGTTTTAATCTTGACAAAATGTGAGGTATTCTGACAAAATAAGACAGAACTGGGCACAGGCCATAGTAGTTGGGCAAATAGTATAAAAATTGTTTTCAAGAAATTTGTTTTTTCGTTTCTTCACAAATACAAACGCAAAACTTTAAAGGGCTTTTTTCTCAGTATTTTACAGGGACACTTTTTATACGCGTCTGCATTGGAATCAAGTTACGAGACCAAGAAAAATGTACATATTATTTCTCTTTTCTCAAAAATGCAGAGTACAGGTTATAGATGTAGATGTGTACTGTGCACACAACTGAAGATTTTGAAGCAATTTTCTCAAAAAAAAATATGCAAAAAAACACTAAATTATCCTATATGTACCAGTATCTTTAAATATCACCCACTAATAACATACAAATTATATTACATGCATCATTCCCCTTCATTGAGCATAAAAAGTGACCAATTTTCCAGTAACCAACCAAATAGACTAATCTGGTGCAAAACAGATGGTTTTCATATCTTTATCACTGTAGGAGTCTGGGGTATATAATTAATTGGTTTCTCATGTGCAGGGCGCCAGTGATGATAGAAATCCCATAGGGTCACACAAGGACATACATGTAGTCAAGCTGCTTACTTCCTGTGTGTTAGGTTTCGTGGTTTTGAATTAAAGAGGTAGCAGGGTTATCAAAATATTCAGGCATAGGTGTGATGCGATCAAGCTACATGAGTCGTTTTTCGGGAATTTTTATTTGGAGATACAGGCCAAAATAGGGCCACTTCATCCCATCACTTAAACACATCCGACTTCCATAATCTTTTAACTAAAGATGGCATCAGCATGCGGTTTTCTCATCAGTAATGCTGAGATTGTGCTCTTTTCAAATCTGTGATAAAAAATTTTTTGACCAGGGTCGACAAACGACTCATGTAGCTTGATCGTATCACATTTCTTGTTTGTGCATTTGTTTTCGTTTGAAGCAACAAATATTGCTCAAAAATCTTAAAGCGTCCATGAAGTGACATTTTATTAGGAACATATTTTGTGCAACTTTCTACTCCTCTTAAATGCATGAAAAATATCTGGTTAAGTTTATTGAAAAGTGCACTTCTTTAAAACGTTTTAAAATTTTTCCATCCTTTTCCAGACAACTGAGGGCACTGTTGCTGTGTGATATTTCAGGAAGCATTGTTCAGTTTAGGGGTTTTCTGTTCAAATTGTGAACCCACAAATTGGCTTATTGAAAATATTTGTGAGAAAACTTTGTAAATTGGCTTTCTGCCATGTAATGACACAACAACGAATCACAAAATTTACGACAGAAAAATTTCCAAAAATCTGGCTATGATAGTCAAAATGGTTTATCTCAAACGGTATTTTTGCTGCAGTACAGTCGGGTGCCTGGCCCAACTAATGGACCGTAATGTTGTTTGTAACCAGGAACTCGACGGGTAGCGCAGTGTGATCATCACAGTATGTGTGGTCAACCGTTGATCGATAATCGCGCTGTAGCTCTGTGTATGTATAGACCATTATCATGGTGCGGCCATCTTGATTTTCACCATTCAAATCAACGTAACCAAAGCGAGGCTGGAAGGAAAATAGTCTGGTTCCTTTTTGCACAAAAAACGTATACATCATCATTCAACACTGTTATTGGATACAGCTGGGGAACATGACTGAAATGGCTACTGCATGATAAAAGTCTATTGTGTGTATAGACAGCGTTGTGTACAATACATCGTGTTTTCTCGCTTGCGATGTGTGCATGCTTCTGTCCAAGAAGCGATGAGAATGAGAAACATCCCAACATTGGTGGCGCTACCCCTTCCTCTATTTTCTCAGCAGCTTACCTGTGTGCAATCTCTGACGCCTGCTTTGGCCTCACTGCAAGGTTCTTTGGCATGGGGGAGGTTTGTGTCTGCATAGGCTTTGACAACATTCACAGCACCTTGTAAGAAAAACAAACAGCGTTGGAGAAAACTGGCTTTTTTTTCAAGAAGTGCTCCTAATTTTTCCTAATTAGTTATTCCACATTTTCTTTGCAATTGATTACACACCTGTAAAGGGGTACACGCCTTAAAACTGATTCTCTGACCTAACAATTCCCCAAAGACTATATATTGCTGTGATTCATCTTAAGTGGGGTCAGGGAAACAGACTACAAGAACATGATTGGTTTTCTTGGTTTTTCCAGCATCTACAAGCCCAAAACGTGAAACAAGTCATTTAAACAATATTTGCTATAACACACTGATCCTCCCAATTCATTTATTTCTGAAAATTGCAGCAAAACAACTGCTCTGCATAACTCTCCATAACATTCCACCGATTTGGTCTACACAATGGACCGGATTTAGCTCATTCGTTGGTGTTACAGGGTAATCCTATATGATAGCACTGCCCGGTTCACAAGTGTCGGGGAGTGAGACAGTCAGTCAGTATTAGTCAGTCAGTCAATGACACGAAGAAGAAAAATCAGCATTACAAAAATAAGTTTGCTCACAGGGAAAATTCCAAATTAACGGGAACAATTTTTTACTTAAATTGAAACCAAATTTGATAACTGAATGAAGATAATTCACCAATTACCTTCTCTAACTTTCAATTCCTTGTCGTACTGCTCATGGACTTCTTCAACTTTGGCAAGGTGAAATTGTAATTTCCTGAAAGTAAAGACAAAAATACCGGTACATTAGAAACATGGATTATATCATACCGGTATATATCAGATGTTACTGGGACAGGAAAAAGTGGACCCCAAATTTAAAGAATGACCCATGGATATAAGGTCTAAAGTAAATACAATGTATAGGTCTGAAATTGTCTACGCCGGCCAAATCATGATTTGCATGCCCTCAATTTTTTGCTATTAGATAGCATTTTGAGGGCCAGGAACTTGAGGGTTAGTAAAAAAAAGAAGGATGGAAGCCATGAACAGGTCTGCTCGCACTTCTGTGAAATTCGGATGAAACTGGGCCCTAAAATTGCTATATTCTGCGATGCAGTGCAGGCATCATTTTTCAAAATGGCGATGGGTTTAACTTCAGGACTTTTGTTAATAAGGTGATCAACTTTTGATGGAAGTTTATCCCAAAAGTCATCTCTACGTACCCCCCCCCCCAAAAGAATAGAAATGAAAGATGATGAAATAAGCTTATATTGATATACGTGTCTCAAACACCTTGGAGAGTTGTGAGTATTTGTCCTGAATTTGGGAAGTGGGCATAATACTAGTCGGCAGCCTGAAGCCACTGCCCAACTGCAAGTTAAAACCAACTGTTTGTGGGTGCAGGGTTTAGACCAGTAGTGATAGTACATGAACCTTGTGGTTTGGAAGATATCCTAAGGGAAATCTCAAGTCGCTCCTAATATAGACCCCTGACTGACCCTAAATCACACAGTTGAGCTTGACCCCTGACCTTCAGTCTGACCCTGTGAACAATCCTTGAAAGGGTAGTGTGTCCCTTGGGCACAAGATACTGGTAACCTATGTAATGAGTGCTTTTAATAAATTTTCCAGGTGTTTTGGGCCTTTTAATAATTTCTGTTCGGAAGAATTATAAATAAAAAATCAGCGGTAGCAGCAGTTTTTTTTACAATGATGACTGAAGTTAGTGAGCTTATATGAATGCACAATATGTACATGTAAAACAATATTAGTGCATGGACCGATACAGGTAGATCAACAATGTGATCAAATTTGAACAAATTTTACTCATATAAAAATATTCTTAACCTGCTTCAACAGATTTTTCTGATTGTTCATGAGAAAAAGAAGAGAAAAGAAGCTGCTTCAGTTCTGTTTGTTGGGAAAACCACGTCATTCGATGTTGTTGAATTTTTCAATTCAAAATTGAAAAATATATTCAAAATTTTAAGACCATATTAATCTTTTAACACTTCTTTTCAATAGTCTATCTTCAAATTACTTTTTATTCAATGAAACTCTTTATATTACTACAGTTCCATGTAACCATGGAGAAATAATGATTTTTTTTTATTCATCCACACAGCTCGATCCAGTTTTTTCACCAAATTATTATCAAATTCTACAAGCCAGGTTTTTTTTGGTGTACACAGAAATAAAACCGTTTGACAATCTTTGTCATCAAGCCCTTCAGACAAAGTCAACAAAAAACGTGTCAAAAAAATTTAATCCCAACCTCTGAAAGTGATACTTAAAACCTTGGCCAGCCAAGGAGAACCACGCTGTTTGTTTCCATTTCAGTTTTGATTTTATTTACTTTTTATTTTTTTGCTGGTCATCAAAACCATAGACCTTAAACACAGCTTGAGACAGAACACTGGCTGGCTGGCTGGCTGGCTGGCTGGACAGAAAGTCTAGAGCCTTGGGGCAAAAACAAAACCAAAGAAAAAACTGGCTTCTAAGCAGAAACAGAGGCCAATTCCATGGTGCACTGCTGTTAAACAGTAAGCAGAAAAGATGTGCTTGCTATAGTAGAAAGAAAAATTGTGCAAACCTTAACCCTAATCCCCTAGGCCCTCTGGCTAGGATGCAGCCTCAATCCTGCAAAATCCTCCAACTGCCACCAAGAAAAAATTGGATTCAGCCTCAATCCTCCAAAATCATCTGTTATGTTTTGAATTTAGTCTGTGGAGGGTGACCACTGCCTCAATCCTCCAAAATTCTCTGCCAATTACTGCTACATGTATCGTTTGAGGCAGTGCAAATGGCGTTTAGAAGCAGGGCTGATTTATACATGGCTGAACATAACCAATGCAGGATATGGCCTACTGGCTTGACGTAATGCATCCTCCACAAAAAAAACTAAATACATCTTTGCCATTCATCCTCAATCCTCTAAAATCATCCCAAACCGGCAGGAGGATTTTGGTGGATTGAGGGGGTTAGGGTTAACCCTTTAATCCCTAGGTATTTTTGCTAGGATGCAATCTTTATCCTGCAAAATCCTCCAATTAATTGCCTCCACAGCCTCAATCCTCCAAAATCATCCCTTATTCCTTGAATGTGGTCCTTTGAGGGGTGACCACTGCCTCAATCCTGCAAAATCCTCCAGCAATCACTGTCAATATGTGGAGACAGAGTCAGTGACATCCTGGAGCAGTGCGGAGGGTTTCAAGTATAATGTAGGCCTAAATTTATGCATGGCTGAGCATTTAAAAAAAACACGCAAGCCCTTGACAAAGTGCATCCTCCAAAATCAGCCACACATTTTTGCCATAGCCTCAATCCATTTTGCAAAGAGAATTTTGGAGGATTTGGGAAGGTTAGGGTTAAGCACCATTTCATGGCATGGATGTGTGAATGGTTGCATGCACATTTGAGATTTCTATTCACTATCGAAATGATCACAAAAGATCTGCCAAAACTGGTTGCTAGCAACAGCAAGGGATCACTCACTATGAACTCATGTTTTTACCTGAGCATTTTTGTGTTGTTTCATTAGAAAATTGGAAAAGGATTCTACAAGTGTGACTTTGATTTGTATGATCACTAGACTGCAGCGAAACAGTTGACCATCGTGAGGTAGCATTGTCTAAGAAGTGACTTAGTGATATGAAAAGTTGGTTACGCCGGTACCCGATCCCATAATCTGGAACCGGTTCCTAACATCAGCGGTCGGGTACTCGGGTACCCGGTTCCCACGCCCAGCCCTAATGGAGCTATGAAGCATAGAAATGAAATGTAAAGAGCAGAAATTCATTAAGTGTAAAAATTATTAGCTTAGCAAAAAAAAGGCTACCAGATAAAATGTCAAGCAATGTATATCACTTGATGGTTCTCAGATTTCCTAAGCATGTTTTGAAAAAACACCGTGAAATCTAGCCCCGACGGCGCCACATGTGTGATGTGGGCAGACTTGCACAATTTAGCATACAATAGCACTGAGGTAATATGATCGTGCAGTAAAACAACATGGGGCCCACAAGTACAAGTTTGTTATGGGTGCAGACCTGTAAATAGCCCCATTCACTATTTGTATACTGTCGATTTTTATTTGTAATTTTAGTTTTGCGGCCCCTGCAACTGAGTATTCCTAGAAATAAAGTGCCCAGTTCTGAACCGGTCTTTGAACTTGCATTTCTGAAGAACTGGGGATGAATTTGGACACGAAAGTTTTGTGATGGAGTGAAGGGATCATTTTTTTTCAAAATGGCGATGGATTTCAGGACTACATATACTTTAGGGATGATTATCCTTGGAGGTAAAAATCAACCCAAAAATTTAACAGTTAAAGTGAAAAAGGCAAATCAAGCTCTAACTTGATGAATGTCTTGAACACCTGTGAGACTTGTGAGTACATGAAAAAGAGTATTCATAAAATGTACATTTAATTTGCTTCTGGGTGATGTAAATTTGATATTGATTTTGCCCATAAATGCGGCGGTGAGGGGCAAAAACCAATACCGAATGAAAAATGACATATTTGTCTTTCTTAGACATAGCTTTTGAAACTGGAATGTCCTTACCTTATATATCTTTCTGCAACTTTAATTTGCTGTGAAATGAAACAAAATTGAAGCCATCAATATTGAGGAAAACCCTGAGAATCACAGTTTTAAGATTCATTAAAATTGAACTATGACATACATGCCTCCTAAAAGTAAAAGCTAGTTTATGCTCAGTGTGAAAATTTGAATGTGTGGTGTCATAATCAGGATTTGTATTGACTGAAAGATTGTATGTTCCACGGTACTGGCCGAAAAGATACAATCTTTCAAGTCAGTAAAACCTTGAACAGAAAACCCCTCAACTGAACAGTGTCTTCCTGAAATGACATCACAGCAACAGCGCCCTCAGCTGTCCGGAAAAGCATGGACATTTTTTTAAATGTTTTAAAAAGTGCACTTTCCAATAAACTTAATCAAAAAGGAATATGTCAAACAGTTTTCATATATTTAATAGGGGTAGAAAGTTGCACAAAATGTGTTCCTCAGAAAAAACCGTGTCATGCACCCTTTAAATGTTCCATACCGAAACAAGGAAAAACTGACTGTCAAAAAAAAAAAAAAAGGCAATGACGGAAACGTTTTTTTGCTAGGGTCACAGCTAGAACAAGGTCACAGTGTACATGCACACACATGCACGTAACCATAAACACGTATACAATTATGTTTAAGTTTTAAAAACCATTTCCTTTTCCTTATTTTTTGTGTTTGTGGAAAACTTCATGCTATTTTGAAAGCAGCAAACGTTATGTGAACTTAGGGTGGATTGTTTGTTGTTTCCTAGAAGCAAAATATCACAGAAAAAGTTCATCCTAAAAAAAACTAAAATGTTGAAAATCTGGAGATAGATGAATGAGTATGCACTGTATCAAATCAATGCGATTTTTGGCAACAAACAAATGTGAAACCAAAGTTATGGACGCAAACTGACATGTTGCTGCAAGTATGATTCAGAAATTAATTGTGTCCGATCGCCAAATTTTAAAATGAAGTAAAGTACATACTAATTCAATATAAGTGATATTTCTATTGTTTGTGCCCTGAAAATGTGTCGCTGCAATGCCCTTATCTACTCAAAAATATGGCATTTGGAAATTTTAGATATTTTATTATTGGAAATACTCACTTTCTCTAGGTTGTAATGAAAGCCCTGCAAAACAAAATAAAAAAGAAAATTGATGTTAGAAAACGATGAACAAAATACACAAAACTCTACCAGCCAAATGTACTCATACACTCAACCAAAAAAGTCCCCCTTAATACTTTTTTGTCTAACTCAAAAACTACCGGGCACATCTTGCTCAAATTATGACTGATCAGTACAGAAATTCCTTCGAGCCATACTCTTTGTTTGGCCCAAAACAGTGATAATGTGTACCAAATTATGCAATTTATGACAAATGGTACCGAAAAAAGTTGCACTTTTGTATACGTGCAAGGTGAGTGTGAACCACAACTTGCACATATACAAAAGGGCAACTGTTTTCGGAATCATTTGTCATAAATTGCATAAATTCGTACACATTATCACTGTTTTGGGCCAAATAAAGAGTATGGCTGGATTGCTAAGGAATATCTGTACTGATTAGTCGTTATTTGAGCAAGAGGTGCTCAGTACCGGTAGTTTTTGAGTTAGACAAAAAAGAATTGGAAGGGGGGACTTTTTTTGGTTGAGTGTACGGTACATACATTGTATGTACATGCATCATGCGTCTGTGTAACAAATGAAAACACCATTTACAATAAGTCTCTGCGGAAAAACCGGCTAGATTAAGGATTTTATGGTTCTTATCGGAGGGGCTGGTGTCTGGCTAGTATTTTTAGGTTCAATAGTTCAACACATACTAAATATTATTTGGCTATGATGTTTGAATAAGGAAATTGTGAAATACGACCTTTTGTAAACCAAAATGTTGGAGTAATTAAACAAGTGCGACTGCACAATAAGCTCTGGTCGTCTTGCATGAAAGTCTAGCATGAAATGATACAATTACTAACTTGGTGGTGATTGTCAATTGAAAAAAGAATTTCCCATTTTGTTGAAAGTCACTATGCCAAATAATAGTGACCTTCATAATGCAACTGTATGCTCACTCCTATGCCCAGGAGACCCATAAAACTGACACAGGGCCAGAGGCAGGGGTGATGTATAGTGACAGGTGTGTAGAAGCCCCGTAACTTCCTAAGTTCGTAGCGCACACAAATACCACGTGACTATAACATTACCACACATTATCTTGCCTCTATTCAAAAAAATTCATACAAAAATGTCACGAATTGTTGCAAACAAGTTTTGTCAATTACCAGTATTTAATGTACTTTGTTTTCTTTTTTTGATAGTTACTGGTTGATACTTTATGGGTGAGATAGGGGTTCGTTTTTGGTCAATTTTTTGGGGGGGACCGATCGACCAACAGTCCGACAATTGAGTGACTTGTAGAAGCTCTGTTGCCAGAGCTTAATTAATGCAAACATGACTTGATTTTAAAGCAGATCACAGAGCAGAGAGATTAATTGAGTTTCAGACATACCTGTCTGAATGAGGTGGAGTTTGGATCGTGTTGATGTTCTTCCATCACCGTCAGCTTTTCTTTGCTAACTTCTATTGTATCCCTGTTAAGAGCAAAATATTTTAAGTTATTTCGATATTCGTACAAATACTCAAAAAAGGTATCCAACACCGGCATCAGCGATCCTGATTCAAGATTTGCTCCAAATTTGTAAAAGACAAGACTGACATTGTGAATTCTCATCCTAACCTTCTTCAATCCTCCAAAGTCCTCCGGGCGGTTTTGGAGGATTTTGGAGGATTGAGGATGAATGCAAAATACGGGGTCCGCTCATAAGTCCGACGCCTCATAGCTCAGACGCCTCATAGCTCAGACGCCTCGTAGGTCCGACATATTAAACGCCTCGTTTTTTCGACGTCGGACTTATGAGGCATCGGACCTTTGAGGCGGAATAAATTATGCCTCATACGGTAAGTCCGACGCCTCATAAGTCCGAAATTTTGGACTTATGAGGCGTCGGACCTATGAGGCGTCAGACTTCAAAATACAATTTTGGAGGATTGTGGAGGAATGAGGGCACATGGACATTCAGTATCGGTTGATTTTGGAGGATTGAGGCTGAACGGTGTTAGAAGACAAGAATTTTGGAAGATTGAGGTTGAATGCAACATCCAATTTTGGAGGCCATAAGTTGACATGTTACTTCTGTGACTTAAATTTTTATTAGTGTCGACTGATGCCGACCATTAATAATGTAGTTGCAGTTACACTCAAGTTAGTATAGTTGTGGGAGAAATCAGAGATTTCAAAATGTGGTTTTCCTAATTCGGTCATCCGATTTCAACAGAAGTTCATATCCAGCTCACAGTCATGCCAACAGAAGTGAGGCATGAGGTGTCACATGCAATGCCCTAACAATGATTGGGTAAAGTTTGTAGGATTCAATGACCATTTGATTATTATAAAAACTCTTCAGAGCTGTAATGTTAACAAAATGGGTCGGAACTCTCTGATAAGTTGAATGGGCAGGCTATTCATATACCAAGAAGACCACTAGCAAGTGAATGCAGTTACAATCAGAGACCATGGAGCAAATTGGGCACTGTTGCAGTTGTTTTCTTAAGCCTGTGTTGAAAACTTAATTGTTTTAAAGTTGGCGCGACTGATTTGTTCCCGTTGATCCTGAAAAGTTGATCCTGAAAAGTCAGTCGCCAACTGATCTGTGTTATCGCAAGACCTGAGGGTGGCTTAAAGGCTACTAGACTCACTTCAAGCCTTTCTTGAGGCTCTCCAGGATGGTATGCATGCGATGGGGTCTGGGTTGGCGTGGCATCTTCAAGGCGTGGTTGCCGGGTGGGGTTAACATCTTCTGTCGGCCACGTCTGTCCTTCAACTTGCCTTGTCTGCTGGGGGTTCCAAAACCCCGGAGACCCTGCAAACACACAAGCAAAAATAAAACAAACAAATACATTAATATCCATGCTAGCTTGCTCTAGGCTCCCAGCTACTTGGCATCCACACAGGATGCAACTTCACACTTCATCGATTTCGCGTTTGCTACTTAAATGTAGATGGTCAGAGTTTATACCTCTGGTTCTTTTCAGAACCATTCACACATGGTGTTTCCGCAAACCTTTCATTCATTAGTATCTCCACCCTCAAATCTTACTCATAAATATCCAATTAATTTGAGATTTGCGATTAAATTTTACAACACCATAGGTACATGTACGATGAATGGAAAGCACTTTGTGAAACAGAAGGATGGGCCATTTTGAATGGCAATAAAACACCCCTTACAAATTCGCAAGCAAAAAAAACACCTGAAAACTATCATGAACAAAAGTCCTTCAAACAGAAGTAATGTACGAAGTACTATACACCAAGACCGATGATCTGAAATGGTGAGTGACAGGGGCGGATCTAAGGGGGGGGGGGGTATACAAAGGGGGGGGGTATACAAAGGCGGAGGGTTGAAGGCCTGCCAAAATCATGCCTTGGGGGTCCGGGAGCTTGGCCTCAGGAAAATTTTGAAATCTAGGATGATTTCTCCGGCATTGTAAGGCAATAAACTTTAACATTCCATTTTTTATTTTCGGCTCATTTTACTACTCATTATGCGCAGTCATGTCATTGTTTTCTGAGAATTTATCCTACAAAGTACAAAGTGTACCGATAACAAAGAAGCTTACTTCTCTATATTCCTCATCCATTATTCACTCAGCCCAAGAACTATTCATTGTGAACGACGTAGCATCCAATTGACACGTTGTAAGCTTGTCGTCCAACAATGCACATGTAGCTTGATTAAAAGCACTAGTTTTCACCTAGCATCTGTAGCAGTCTACAACTCAGTTTTTTTGAAGCAGTGGTTATCGAACCCCGGACAGTTGCCTGTCGTGTACAGAGACGTAACCACATCTATTAGAAGCACTACTTTTTGCCTAGCTCCTGTAGAAGTCTATCATTCAGTTTTACCGAAGCAGTAGTGATCGAACCCCGGACCTCTGCCTGTCATGCACATGGATGTGACCACTTGTTCATCTATATAAAGTACCACTTTTCACCTAGCATCTGTACCAGTCTATAACTAAGTTTACTGAAGCAGTGGTGATCGAACCCCGGACCTCTGCCTGTCATGCACAGGGATGTGACCATTTGTTAATCTTTCCAAAACAGTCTGGAGACAGAGCATACTGCAAGTCGCTGGTACTGGCATAATCAGTTGTCTCATGTCATTCAAGAGGTTGAGTTTAACATGAAAGTATGCAGCATTTAAGCATCCCGGACCACTTGTACCCAGTATGCTGCAGAGGTTCATGTATTGTGCAGTGAAGCTTTCAAAATTCGTACTGAAGATCGGAGCGCAAAACAACATATATGGTGACCAATTTGCACCAAACGTCCACACATCAGAACAAGCAACAAGCATAAAGTTGCCACACGTACATGTAGACCTCAGTAGACGTCAACTTTCGTAATATTCCATAACTCATGTATATAGAAGTATGTACACAACACATCAGCCACGATGAAGAGAAAAAACAATTTTGTACGGCGTACAACAGTTGAAAATGAAATAGTTTCCTATGTACAATAGACGATACTTCACACTAGATGTACAATACAGTGTCATGTCAGTTTAAATTCCACACTAGTTGCTTGAAAACTGTGCATTTTGCCAAGAAGCAACAGTCGACAAAAAAATGGAATACAAATGTATACAGGATGGTATGGTGTACAACAGTGCCATAATTGGACGAAAAGATGCCGATCCTCGATGAGAACTTCTTGCTAAAGTGTCAGTTACAGCATACTTGTACTTTCATAGCAGTGGCTTGAATAACGACAGTTTGCCACGAAGCAACAGTCTAAAAAACTAATCTACAAGATGGTATGCATACGACCAGCGCCACAATTTGATGAAAAGATGTCAATCCTCAAAGACAACATCCTGCTAAAGTGTTCTTTCATAGCAGTCGCTAAACATTTTGCCACACATCAACAATCAACATGGTCAAATATTTATAAAATTGTAGGGTGTATGACAGTAGTTTTCCATGAGGAAGTTGTCGACATTAACTGCAGTGGAACGTGCGCTGATCCCCCACACATCCCAAGATGGGTTGAACGTTCAGTCAAAAGAAAAAAACAACTAGATCCGTATCCTGGCACGCAAAGTGTGAAACTGCATGTAACTTCCGTGTGTGCACTGTGCAGGCTTTTCAGTTGATTGCCAGTGAGTTTGGACCCAATAAATGGTAGATTTTTTTATAAAACTTGTTGATCAAAGTGTACCGTATGTGTGAGTGAGGAAAAATGGAGTGCGTACTAGGAATGCCGTAAAAGGTGTTTTGAATGGTCGGTTATAGCTGAATGGGTTTTAGTAGGAATTATCTCACGTGAGGGTTCCAGTCGATGAGTTATGAAAATACGATAAATTTGTTTGTGTAGGGACAAAAGTGCTTGGGGCAGTTTTGTGGTTGGGGAACGAAAGCAGAATTCATGGATCACACCAAAACTCACGGATGTAATTTTCTTCTTTCTTTCCAAAAGGGTTATTGAGATACGAGTGGTATGATTTTATTTACTTTGTGTTCAAAATCACTTACAGTCGGCCCTATTACTCTCCAAATTCTATCTTTGGAGTTTCGATCGCCCCACATTTCGTTCCCTTAAACTTGCTATTTTTCTAGCAATTCAAACATTGTTCACTTTTGAATGAAACACAACCAAAAGGACCAGCCCATATTTAGTTACGGAATCATTAATTTCCAAATTTGTAATATAAATTGCAGGCAGACTCTAATTATATTCTCACAGGGTAGTTTTGTTTTCGCCCTATCAGAATCGATAATGTAGAACCGGAAACCAGTCTACTTGTTTTTGTTTCTTGAGCTGTTGAACAGCTTTTGTTTTCGTTTAATCCTAACTCCCTAGCATTAATTTACTAGGAACCACACCCATTCTGGCAAATTCCAACAGCCACATGGGAAATCGAACACACACAACACTGTGGGACTTAGTTTCTGGAGGTATGCCAAACCCAATGTAAAAGACCATCAGTTTAGGGGTACTCTACCCATCCCAACATTGGGTTGAAACTTGGTATGTATTTAAACCAGGATGTCTTATAGATGAAAATTCAAGTGACGTCATGGTGATGTCATCACGTGACCCGTGACGTCATACTAAAAGTGCATATTCTGAAGGCCTATATCTATAAAACTACTTAAACAAAACCTGCTGTTGGCTTTGATGGGTTGAGTTTGGTTAGGGTTAAGTTAGTTTTTTCCTTATTTTTTAGACTCTTATTATCATATCTCATGAATTATTAATCTGTCCATAGGATAGTCTGAAGCAACATTCCAAGTTTAATATTGCATTATTATCACTGTGCAGTTTATTGTTCTCATGTTACGACATCATGAATATTATGTGGCCACCATTAAAAATACCGTACGCTTAGTTTTGATTCCATATTTCCTCATATTGGAATGAAAATGCACCTCCTGAAATGTCCAGGTCATGTGACCCTTACATGAACTTCAGGTTTTACCAGAAGTGCAATGAAAGATTAGGCCCTACAATATCATTACTTTCTTTTTGGAAAAAAAAAATCATGAAATCATTTTCTACTGTCCAATCGTAATAGTAAAAAAAAAAGAGGGCCTACCAGTACATGTATATGGTACCCTGCACTACATGTATGTATGAATTTAACAAATGTATGGTCATGTGAAAGATTTGGCATCAGATAGGGCCTACAAATCATTTTTCCCCAAATATGTACATGTGGAGTTTACACACCTCTTGTCATGCTATATTTGGCAACTGTAAACATGATCCCTTTCATCAGAAAGTATGAATCACTGAATGGAATGCATGGGGTATCACTAAATCAACCAAAAAACCACAGTAAATATTTTGGGTTTATATGTCCTTCAGGGTTCCCCTGTCCACACTTTGCTGGGAAACTATTGATGAATCAGTTGTAAGTGATATCATTTCCCCTGAAACAGCAATTTGATATCACTCAGGGACTGTGTACTTTTTCAAGGCGAGAGTACGCACATGTGCAGTGTACATCAGGTATTAAGACAAGTACAGGTAGTGCTGTACATAAATTATGCATAAATTTACATATTACTTATTTTCACTTTGAAAACAGCAATTTGATATCAGGTGGGGACAGTGCACTTTTTGAAGGTGTAGGAATATAAAGGTGCGTGCAACTAAATACAGTGTATCAGGTATAATAAGCCAAGTATAGTAGTGCTGTACATACATATGTACATTTCCGGATAATTTAGTATTTGATTATTTTGACTTATATTGATCGAATACCGAATATTCTAAATTGGCTGTAGTAAGCCTAAACTGGCTGCTGATTTGGATTTGCATATATTCAGCAATTTGGTGAAGATCGCATATACTAAACATGCTCATTCATGAACAGAAGTACAATAATTATTCATGTACATGTAGGCCTATACTATTTAATGTATATTGTATGGAAATCGGACAAAGTTACTATAAATGATCATCATACCGTACTACACATGTGCATGTAACATGTGTTTACAAGCTTTCTCCGATAGAGCTACGGTACATGTTAAAGTGCACATGTAAGCTCACTGTGCATGCATGGATGTCTCACTATGTACCCAGTGTTCAAGCCAGGGTAAAATTATAGCGTAGGGGTATTTTGCTCTGAGGACTAATGCGAGCTCGTAGCGCGAAGCCCTTACGGCGTGGGGCCGGCAGATTGGCAAGACAAATGGTAAAACAATCATCGTATATGGGTGTACTGCACAGGTCTCTGACAGAAAAAGTCATCGGCGATTGCAATTTCCACACGCTACATGTACACCGGTACAACACAATTTGAAGGAGGAATCTCATTGTTGTTAATGCAAGGAAATACACCGT